CACAAATGTCCGCCATTTTTACAACACTGTTGGATAGCACGTCTGACGCATCGCCCAGCTCAGCTGACAAAAAACAGACGACACAGCGACGCATCTTAAGCACACGATAATGTATACATACTTTCATTTGCACGGTGCAAGCCTGGCGAGCTACAGGTCAGACCTACAGAGCCACTCTGGGACCGGCCTAATCTTATATGTGACCTTATTGTGTTGCAAGTGCCGTAAAACTTTTACTAAAACATCCCTTATCTCCATCCCTTTCCCCAAACTAACTTTCCAACCACCAGTGAAAGCTGTTGAGACGGCTTTATGTGCATTTGTTTGTGCAAAAGAAACGGCGACACTTGGAACCTATTGAATACCAATAGGGTTTTCATGTGTCTTGAATACAGATGGGTTGAACGTGGTTACTCTAGCTAAGACGTTAGAAGTCTTGGATGAATGGATGGATGGGTGGATGGATGGATGGACGGACGGATGGACGGACGGATGGACGGGTGGATGGATGGATGGATGAATGGATGGGTAGGTGGGCGAACGGACGGACAGACACATACAAAATAGAAAGAAAGGAAGAGAGAATGAAAGAAAGGAAATGGGAAAAGAGACGGTTATTTCTGAGGGACGTCGCGCTCCATCTTGAAGTGTTCTATATCTTGGGCCCTGTTTACGCTATGGGCTTTTAATTACCCCGTATTCGACGTCCTTCCTTCCGATCTCAGATCGAGATTGTTTGGTTGGTGAGCCTGCCGAGGAGTCTTTCTTGTATTAACGTTTGCGTAGGACTTGGGAAAAAAAGGAAAAGAAAAGAATCTAGTCGAACGCAATTACAAACCAAATTGCACAGAAAAACAAGTCTAATACGCAATTTGTGGAAGTTTTTTTTTTCTGTGAGAGTTTTTTGTTTGTGTGTGTGTGTGTGTGTGTGTGTGTGTGTGTGTGTGTGTGTGTGTGTGTGTGTGTGTGTTTGTTTGTTTCGTAGCCCATTGTAGAAAAATAACCCTTTCTCCTTGTAATCGTACTGGGAAATCCCGTTCCCCGCCCCAGTGCTATTACAAGGGCGGGTGGCAATACCCAAGAGTACCATTGAAGCCATAGCCAGATTCCCGCGGACTTGGCCCCTGATTCTTCCAGCTCAGTCCGAAGATGGAGCGCGGCAGCCCTCACAAATAGCCGGTTTCTTTTCTTTGTTTTTCTTTCTTTCGTTCGTTCTTTGTATCTGTCTGTCTGTCTGTCTGTCTGTCTGTCTGTCTGTCTGTCTGTCTGTCTGTCT